TCTTACTTCTCTCGGAGTCAACTAAAAGCCAACTCCAAGTGAAAAGGGCCAACTGTTATGGTATTCGCTCACCCAAAATACAGTATTTACAAAATAATATGATAAGAGTCCTAGTGATCAACTCCCAAGAGTTCTAGGCATTTCGACTCCTAAGTCGAATAACAAGTCATTGGCTCTTCATTAAGGTAAGACCAAGGCACCACATATGGTCGAATCCTCCACCAGAACTCGATCATCATGGTTAGATTACAAGACCTTGGTGCCTTACCAAAGTATAAACCTAAGGCACAATTACAGAGGTCTCAGCCCCACCGACTCATCAAGCTTGCACTCTGGTGTCGACACAAGAGGCGATACTAGCCGATACGAGAGATCCTGACATGCCAGACGAGTCAACATCTTTATATTAACTCCAAAGGTGGTTATTAAGCTGAGATAAGATGACGTTTTACTCAGTCGGACAGGCTGACACTCTTAAGTCGACACAAAAGGCGGTACCGATCGACCCTTTTATCAAAGACGACCCTATTTAAAGCACTCGACCACTCACTGGGCATTTCTCATAGACGACTTAAGCGATGTTCCCTGGTGTCGACTAAGCTGAGGACTCGACCCTGGTCTCTCCCCCCGAGCAAACGTTGACATCTCAGTCCACCTCGAATAAGTCTTATCTAGATATTAGCCTGACAAAGTCTCCATGACTTGTCAGCTTAATCATTTCTTGGAAAATACAGAGATACATTCTCCTATAATGAAATGACTTCCCCTCCAGTCGCCAGTCGACATCTATAAAGTAAGGGACGACTCAGCATGCCAGCGTGCCTTCTGCCACGCTCACAAGTCACTTCCCGGATATCACGGAGACGCCATCTCCCATGCTGAAATGACGTCCCTTCTAGTCACCAGCCGACACTTATAAAGAGAGAGATGACTCATCTTCCAGCTTACGCTTTGTCATTGTCATTCTTCATGGCCGAAATGACCAATCTACCACAGACATCCACACGATATACAGATGTTATTCTGGATCAGAGCGAAAAAAAAGGAGAACAACCCATGAAAGCAAAGTAAGTAAAAAAGAAGCCAAAAAGGGCAAGAAATAAAGAACAATCTAACTCTTCTAGTCCATCCAATCTGAGAGATGATAATCTCTAATGCACATAGCATAAGAACGCATAGTTCTAAACTCCACTCAAGGTCATGTTTATCAACTAACTTGATCGTCAGAGGAACCACGGGGGAACCGGTCCCGCCCTCTCACGAGTTATTTTTGTCTATGCAGCACGAACATCAGACCCTCATTCAAGAACTAGGCGTAAAGCTGGAGAAGGGAACGAATCCTCCATTATCCTTCATCACCCCGTAACAATTCTCTTCTGGATTAATTAGGTGTTTGATATCGAGCATCAACGGTTATTAAAGGAAAAACTATCAGCAGCTTGTATGTTTTGTAGGGTTCTACCGTTATCGATTCGGCTGCAGTTGCATCGTCGATGTCAGGAGTTAATACTACTAGATTATGGCATATGAGACTTGGTCATATGAGTGATCACGGATTGACCGGGTTGAGTAAGAATGGTCTTTTATGTGGATAGAGTATAGAAAATTTGAGATTCTGCGAGCATTGCATCTTTGGGAAGTAGAAAAGAGTCAGCTTCAGTACAATAGTGAATCAAACTAAATGTACTTTAGATTATATCCATTCAGATCTTTGGGGACCTTCTCAAGTTGTCTCGAGGGATGGTAGTTCCAAATATTTGTTGACCTTCATTGATGACTACTCCAGGAAGGTTTGGGTCTACTTCATTGATGAGTTCTGCAAGAAGGATGAATCGTTAGACATCGTATAGTCCCTCACATGCCACAACAGAATGGAGTGGCAGAACGTATGAACAGAACCTTATTGGAGAAAGCTCATTGTATGATGTTCAATACAGGTTTAGGCAAAGAATACTGGGCGAAAGTAGTGAATACGGCTTGTTACTTAGTGAATTGGTTGTCACTGCTATTAGTTGTATAACTCCAGAGGAGGTTTGGTCCGGTAAGCCTGTGGATTATTCTAATCTTAGAATATTTGTTTGCCCTACATATGCACATGTTAGTCAACGAAAACTTGAGCCGCGAGCGAAGAAGTACATATTCCTAGGTTATGCATCGGGTGTTAAGGGTTTTAGGTTGTGGTGTCCTGGTCTGAAGTCTCCTAAGATTATTATTAGCCATGATGTTACTTTTGATGAATCTGCTATGTTCCACCAGAAACAGTCATCGATTTCAGTTGTTGATAAGGCGCGCACTACAGGACATAAGGTGGAGTTAGAAATTTGTGATTCAACTCTTCAATAGGATAAGACGACGGGATTTCAACATCCAGATCACATTCAAGTAGATGAAGCACCTTATAGGAATACACTATTGCTAGAGATCGATCTAGACGAGATATCCGACTACTGCGAAGATATGAAGATACAGTAGCTTATGCATTGTTGGTTGATAATTTTGTACTCTTCAGCTATTCAGCAGCTGTGTCAGGTGATAATTTTGCTAATATTTACGATTGTCGCACGGACAATTCAGTCAATTTGTTGAGGAGGCCTCTTTCAGTTAGCAAGTTCAAGCTAGGCTTGGACTTGATCGATATGTGCCGCACTTAGATGCCCTACGGGGTTATTGAAGAAGTAAGTTAGCTTATTTTGGAGTAAGGAATCTTCTACGCGTTTGAGTCAAGGTGGAGATTTTTTATAGGTTGCCTCAAATACACAAATCCATATTGCTTTGAGAGTTCCTTTTTAGGTTGGTTTGTTTTGATCAAGAGTCCTACTTACATTAGACTTTGCACAACCAATCATATTAGAGGTTTATTCCTACTTGGACTCTTGTTTGGTTTTAAGATATGTGGACTTCTATTCCTATTAGAACTCTTGTTTCTTAGACAGCAATGAGCTGAGATCTTCAAGACTATATAAGAACAGTCTTTCAAGCCAATAATTAAGGATCAATCTTCAGAGCACCAATCAAGAAGAGAGAATTCTTGTGTGAAGCCTATTTGATATTCTTCTCTTTTGTTCCTTTAATTGAGAGTCGTATTAGGCTTTTGGGGTGTGATTTAGGATTGAGTGATTAAGATATTCCACTTTGTATTCCTCACAACTTAGTAAAGTTTTCTCCTCCTTCGCCCGTGGACGTAGGCTACAAGCCGAACCACGTATATCTTTGTGTTTGTGTGTTCTTGATTTTTTTTCGTGATCTCGTGTGATTGAGATAGCTTATCCTGGGGAGTTTGTCATAACTGTTGCCAAGAGTCCCAAAGGACAATAGTCTATGATGGAAGTAGGGTAGAGCAAAATTTTTGGTGAGAAAATGATCCTAATTAAATACTAAGAGTCTAAAATGTGATTATCAGAGTCCAATATTGGTGCAAATTAAAGAGGCATTCAGAATTACACGTCAACTGCTTTTAGCAGATATAAGCAATAAGCAATCTATCTTATAATGCTAGAGGACACCTTAAACAGAGCGAGTGCAGACCATATGTTATGTGTGACTCAAATACTGATCTCAAACTCGGCTCTTTTGTTTTGGCTCCCTGGTCATGCCCGAGAATATTAAGTTAGATGCTAAAACCAAAGAACGCGTGGCTCCTACTGCAGTGATAACAACTATAACATATTGGATTTGTTATTTGATTATTTCATTAGAATTATTAATGGCGAAGAATTAGAGATAAGGCTTTAATTGAATTTGTTGAGCTAACAAATCTAAGAAACAATTGGATTCTTATCCAATTACAAGTCAGGGAGCATGTAGCTATAAAAACAGAGAGCACCTTGATCGGTATTATTATCAATCTGCACCACTAATTAAAACAGAAAACAAAGGGTTCTCTCGTGCAGCCTATTTGTCATCCTTTTTCAGCTCTATTTTGCTAGCTCTTTATTTGAGAAAGATTGTATTAGGCTTTTGGGGTTTGTTTGGGATTTTGAGTGATTGGAAGATCTTCATATTGTATTCCTCATAATTTAGTAAACGTATTCTCCTCATTCGCTCATGAACATAGAC